CTTCTTGTGAGCAGAAGGATGCTCAGTGTCCAGTTCCTACAGCAGAGGTGGCCGCTGTGGTGATATTTTTAATGGGCTTCTCTCTTTAAAGCAACTCTGAAATTTCAAGTGTTTCCAGCTTGTTGCTCAGTCTGAAGCAGATGTAAACTTGATCTTCAGGTTGAGTATTCTAGTAAATTTACAGAGGTGGTAACACTGTGGGACTCTGAGATTTGATCTGGGCTTGTCTGTAAAATAAATAATTTTTCTGTATAAGTGATGAGAAGTGTGCCATGGAAACATGTCCATGATAGACTTAGGCTATCTAAGGTTTTGCAGCTTTAAAGTTCAGCTACTTAAAACATAAAACAAACAAAAAATCCTCCACGAAAAAAAATCATTCTATCATTTTGGTAGTTTTGAAAACTCCTCTCTTTCCCCACATTCCATACTTCCATCCATTTCTCCTGCAGAAGAAGCAGATATAGAAATCTGAAGTACAGTTTTATGTGAAAGCCTTTGCTTATTCTCTTAGCACTGTAAGTCACTAATCAGCCTTGTGCTCACAGCTGCCCTCCCTTTGGCATGCAGAAAGGTGCTCTGACCTACACCTTCCCTCCTTGCACCTTCTGTTGCACATGGAAGCTGTGTCCTCTAACATCTACTAAGGCCAGGTGCCTGGCTAATGGCTTTTGACTGCATGCACATACAGATTTCCTTGGCTTTTGTAATTTGTGCTTCTGGTTTTAGCTTTTAAATCCATCATCAGGGCTGGCATGGACATCCTGGCTTACCTGTAACTACTCTAGCTCTGTGCCAGCAATATCACTTTTGCAAAGCACCTTGAGATGCATGCTGCGTAAGGAGCTGTATATATCCCATTGGAGTAATCTGGTGCAATAATCTGGAAGCAGAATTTACTGTCTGAAGCATGTGGACATATGGTCTCCTGTTACATCATGCTTTGCAACCACTTAGATTTATTCCTGCATTTTTTGTGTTAAGTTGTTTCTGTTGCATGAACAGAAAAGAAAAATACTTTGATTATTTCATACATGGTTTATACCTTCAGGAATATTCACATGACCTCTGTGCCTCTTGCTTTTTGGAAGGCATTCTGGGAATAACACCAGGGATTAAATTAACTCCGGTCTGGTACCTCATTTCAAAATGTGGGAGAGGCTACTGCTACCTGAAGGAGACAATCTCCTTACTCTGCCTTCCCCCAAGAGAAGAATAGGATCAGGCCATAGAGATGTATCAGAGATCTTTTCAAGTGTAAAGACCTTATCTCCAGAGAATTGAGCTCCTTTCCTGTTCGCAGATGCCTCCCTCCTTGTCCACAATGAAATTTCAAAGAAGACTCTCCTGTCTTCTTGTGCTGAAAGGGTTGGTCTTTGCCCTCCAGGACCTGCAGCTTGGCATTAAAATGGTAGATAATATACCTTTAAACAAATATTGCAACTAAAATGAAAAAACCTGCCGATGTCTGGAAATGGATCCATTCAGTAGTAATAAATATTAGGTATGTATAGAGGTATGTCAACAGTATGCCTTATAGTAAGTAATAGAAGATTACAAACGAAAGTCCATCTTTTTATCTGATGGCCCCAAATAGTCTCTTTTTCATGAGATTGCCCCAGGCCTGAATGGTCTTTTGGTAGAGATTAGTAGCAGGCCGTTTGGGAAACTGCCATGATTGGAGAGGAAACCAGCAGCTCAATGATCAAGCTGTAACCACAATCCACACGGTTGTGCAGAAACAAGCAGATGGCACAAAACCTTAAATTTGCTTCTTTGGCCAGCAGATCACTGTGTGGTAAAATCCCATTGAAGGAGAAATTTTATCCAGCTCTCCATTCACCCTGTTCTACCAAGGCAGCAAGATATGGAAGGGTTTGGAAGAGAGGCTGGAACTTAATTTTTTGGCAAGCTCTTGCCAATGGCTCTGAGAAAACCATTCCCTGCAAGCTGAGTGCCCATCATGACAGAAGGGCTGAGGCTTCCTGACTTCTCTTGCTTTGAGCAGCCCCCTGTTTCACTTGAAAATAGGGTGACAAGTATGCCTTTTTCTGAGATGTATTGTGTGCACAGGAGCATGTGGGGCCCTGCTCTGCCAATTGTCAATCAATACATTCATCAAGAATTACACTATCATTTTTCAGGAAGGAAAGGTATCATTCAGTTTCTATCATTTAAAACTGTGACGTATTTGAATATTGCCTGGAAACTCATAAGACAGTGATTTATGATGCCTTTTTAACCTAATTATATAACACACCCAAGAATCTCACCCTTGTACCACAGAAAAACAAACTTCAAACAATTTCCTCTTCATGTGTATTGCACCACTCACTTTCTTGGAAAAGATCCATATTTCTGAGCAGAAGTCACAGAAACTGAAAACCTCTATGTCCACAGCCTAAATGTGGTGTCCCACTGTGGGGAAGCCTTATTTCTCCTGTGCTGTGCCCCGACGAAGGAGTGGAGCAGACGATCACTGTCCTCTCAGCTCTTGGCAAACCTGGGACGAGGATGTGTGTTCCCCGTCAATGCAGGCACTGCCATGTGACATCCCCGACAAACAGCCCAGCATCAGCAGCACGAGTTAGATCAAAAGCTAGAGGACCGAGTGCCCACGACTCGTGGTGCAACAACCACTGCAGAAGCTGTCAGGGGCAACTCAGAATGCACGGATGCGTAGCTGCTCTCCAGTGCCCTGGCAAACAAAGCCACAACCTGATCGTCTGTTGGACAGCTGGGAACTTAATGCCTGATGCAGGAGCATATTTGGAGCTCTCATCCAGTGCCATTGGCTGCTGAGCTAGCAGCACAAGTTACTAAATCTGAGATGACAGTGCAATTGCAGTAATTCCCAGAGCAGTTTACTCAATGCTTATTCCAATAATAAGGCAAAAGGAGGACCTGCTAGGGGCAGGAAGTCTGAAAGTGCTGGTGCTGTATTTCACAGGATAGGGAAGAAGATAGGATTAACCATCTCATCTGCATACCTGTTTTGCTGCATGTCATTAAAACTAGCAGTTACCCTTGTGCTAAATTCAGTACACTGAATGGTCAGGCCACCTCTTCTACTAAAAACCAGCCAGTTTTGGTGAGCAAGTCTGGAATAGGATCTTGGGTATCTTCTTTGACAACCAAACCTGGTAGAGCATCTTTGTATTTATAAAATCTGTTTCGTGTTACATCAAATTCAACAAATCCAGGAATATGTTTCAATGCTTTGATTCCTCCCATTTTTTCCCTATGCCTAGCACAAATGGCCATAGTACTGCAAAAATAAAGGTAAATTTGATTTTGTTTTCTTCTTGTTCTAAACAGCAAATAATGCAGTGACAGATGTTATGTTCACCAACCAAAATCTTGTGCTGTGATTAGCTATTATTAGCATGTGTCTAATCCTCAGGGGATTAAGTGGTTCATCTAAGCATGGCTTCGAGTGTCACCTATGTCTCACATGGACATAAACTAATCTCTTTTGCTGGAAACAGATGAAGTGATAAGTGTTTGGATGCCTCCTAATTTACAGAAAACACTGCAGTTTGTTCTAGGTCAATTTCCCACTGTCAGGATGAAAGAGGACATTTTATATTCAATGTTAGGCCCTTTAAAATCTAATGGGCAACCAGCTCTGAAGTGCAGTTTAAGAAGTTACTTTTTATGTGACTCTAAGTGGTCAAGCAGTCCCAGTTACCATGAGCTCATTCCTGTGTGTGCTTGCCCAGGTTGCCTCTGAAGACATGCAGATGGCATGAACAGGATAGGTTCAGTCACTATGCTGCATGCAAAGTAACACTGCCTCCCTCTGAAGTGCAAATGGAAGCTGCACAGAGGCCAAATCAAAGCAGCAATCTGGCAGCAAGCAAGGACAGCTTTTTCCAGGCAAAGGGCAGCCCTAAACAAGCTGCCTGGAAAGCAGCAGAGCTCACACAAGCTACAGGGCAAACCTGTGTGCTTCTGCTCAGGAAGTTCTGGGCAAGAGGAGCTAAGTGATCACTGGAGGGAGACCAAAGCATCCAGAAGGCTTTAGCCTCATTCTGGAAGTTCAGACTGTTGGATCAAAACCAAAAGCTTCAGGACTTCCTGGGCTGACTCCATAGGAATTACAGGGCTGTCCCTAGTGTTATGTCCAAGGCTACCCCCAGCATTTAGCACCAGGTGTGAAATAACTGCGAGTACGGTCAACCCCTATTTGAAAGTCTGAACTCTTAGATCTCCCAGGTGAGCCTGGGACAAAGAGTTCAGAAGCAGCCTTTGCAGTTAGGGAAATTCTTTGGGCGCTTGGGAATGGCAGACATTTGGTTTGCTGCCAAAAGTACTTTTCTAGCTATTTCTGCCTTCTTGTCTTTTTCTTATATATTGTATTCCCATGAAAGGCTACTAGAAGGGACATTTTGAGAAGGGGAGAGCTGTAGTATTTATGTAACTGGAAATGCTGACAAAATTATCTAGAAAGAAGGCACATAAAATCTTTCATTGAACAGGATAATTGATCCAATATCAAATACCAAGATTGATATTTGATGTTTGATCAACTGATCAACATATCAAATCCCAAGATTTTTATATGAACATAAAGGCTAAACTGCATTTTTGCACTTTTTTGTCCCCTCCCCCTTGTAGGTAATGCATACTCTTGAAAGGATCACCTTAATTTGATGATACAGGTATGAGAAGAGACAATTGTGTACCTGCTCCATGCAAGTTGTCAAAACACGTGCCTATGCAGATGCGTGTGTATAGTCCAAGTGTTTCTCTAATTAATGCTCTGTGCTTACTCTCCTAACATGTGTTAGAGGAAGAAAGACTTCAATGAGACAAAGCAGTGGTACAATCAAATCATCAGATTTATTAGCTTTCTGGGCGGCTTTTTCCATTATGTAAAAGCTAGGTTTGTATTAGTATAGCAGTCAGACCCACCAGCGTGAGGATTACAGTTGGTTTTTACATAATGGATTATCCAAGATTAAGTGTTTTATTCAGGCACAAGAGCAAAAATAACCAATTAGTGACTTTGCAATTCCTTATTTAAAGGGAGCTGGGGGGCAATTGACACAAAACTCTCCTGCTACCTGCAGCCCAAAGACTGAAGCAGAGTAGTCTCAAGGATCTCCAGTACCTCTACTCAGCAGGTAGGTCTCTCTTCAGCCAAGGTGGATCAGACTGGCATCTCTTGCAGCAGGGAAATGCAACTTGCACGGCGCAGCTAGGAGCAGCCTAGTGTAGCTGCATGGGTGTTTGGGCTCTGGGTTGGTAGCTCAGCTTGGATGCTGCTGACAGGCATTAGGGTAAGTGTTCTATCTTGGCATCAGGACACAGGTGTTCAGTAACAAATACTCTGCAAGAATTTATCATGAGGGTTCTCTTTTCCCAAAGTCTGAGAAACAAATTTACTGGGATACAGATGAGCTGGGATATCCAAGGAGAAAAACAGCCATGGGCACCTAGTGGTTGTACTGCCATGACAGATCAAGCGTCTAGAAAATGAGTATTATTTGTCATGTTTGTGGATGGAACGGTCAGAGGGCAGCAAATACCGAGGTATGTTATACCCTTAGAGTAGGCACCTTAGGAAAGGCCTGTTTTGGTGAGGAGAACTGGTAATAAAGAACACGGCTTTGCTGGCTTGAAAGCAAAGTGGACACTCACTGTGAAATAATTAGAAACAACATCTTTACACTGTACAGCGCTTAACTGGAGCTCATCATACATAACTTTTATCTTCCTATGAAAACAAAATTCAAAACATTTCAAATTTTTACCAAATCTTAGCCTTAACCATAGTCTGGCTTGATTTATGACACAAAAATACAATGAACTGCATTACTACTACTGGCAAGCAAAATACTCTTGCAAAGTGATTGCCATTGATGTTCAGTTTTGGCTGAATTTAGGCACCATAATGACTCAGTATCAGTGGAATAGCTGGTTGTCTATTTAGTATAGAAAGAAACTAGTTTTAAAATGATGGCAATACATCTGTAGCACTAGCAACCTCCATCTACTGCATGAAATAAACCCCCATGTTTGCTTTTGTCTTGCAGAATGAAATACGCACAGTATGTTTTCCTGGCCTCGCTCTTCTACACTGTTGAATATAGCCTAGCTCAGACCTGTGCAGTGGAGTCTTTCTCTGTGAAAGACAATTTTGATCCAAAAAGGGTAATTACAGCTACTTCAATAGTACATGTGAAGAAGCTTTGCATATAAGCTGTTTTTCCAAGTTATGAGTTTTGTTCATCTAAAGGGGTTCTTCACCAAAACGTTAACTTCTTTCATATTCTGTCTTGCTGATGCTGTTCCTGTAGTTTTCTTTTCTCAGTACTGTTTAACTTTCTGAACATTATGGCAAAACTGGCCTTGAAACCAGGGATGTTAATAGAGTTCATTTTCTGTTAGCTCAGCACAACTTTGAGCTTCAAGCAATTCTGTGAAAGGAACGATTTAGGTCCACATCAGAGAGGAAGCTCAAGCACAAGCCTTGGGGTACTTGCGTCTACCATTAGTCATTCTTGGGAGTCATAGCATACAGAAATCCTGCCTAGTCTGGTATGCTGAATGCTGACTCCTGTTCAAACACATCATTTGTGCTTCTGAGGAGAAAATGAGGGCTAACCAACTGTTGGAAAGGTCCAGACATGTGTCAGTAGCTATTTTAACTAATGGTCAGCAAACACCACAATTCCAGGGGCAGCTGGGATGTGGCGAGCACTTTCGCTATACAAGATTGTCTTTGCTGGAAACAAATCATGTCTGGGGAGAGCTTTGAGAATATCCCAGTTTTAAAAAGTCAGTCTTCACTAGGACTCCTGTATTTGGGAATTACAGCCTTGCAGGCTTAAGCAGATAACTTGCCTAACAGATGTCATTAGCTTCACTAGAGAATCAAATGTAACATAGCTAGCTCCTGCTCTTCTCAGCATTTCTGATAATTTTAGTCTTAGCATAACTGATTATATTAACTTTTAAGGGTCTTCCTCTCTGTCAGTCACCTGTTAATATCTTGTTTTCATTTTACTAGACACTTCTTGTGCATTTTCAGGGGTCCATTTCTTGCATGGACATATTCTTTCCCTTAAACTCATTCCACTCCTCTTTGCTGTTACTCTCTCCAGCACACCCTCTCCTTGTTTCGAGTATGTAGTCATCACTTTCTGCTTTGCTGGGCAGACCTTTTCCCCATCAGAGATCAACTGTGGCCTGTGGCAGCCACAAAGATTGTCTCCAGCCAGCTTGCTACAATCTTTGTACCTGTGGTTTGATATTGTTGACTTTGGTATGGTATTCCATGGAGGACAAGGGGCTTGAATGGGAACAGGGAAGAATCAGTCTGACTCTCAGAAGACATCTTAGGATGGGAGATGCTTTTGGTGTGGGGTCACTGTGACAGTAATGTCACACTTGACAAGGACTCCACACACACAGCAGTGCTGAGCTGCTAGACCCACTCCTTTTGGCACAGAGGCAAGGGTTCCTCAGGCACACTGCAGGATATGTGTGTTACATTCCCACCCAAACTCAGACTGGCATTTTTCAGGCAGAGGGGAGTCAGAAAGGCACTTTGATCACAAAATTGTTTTTGTACTAGTCCAGCTATGGTGGCTAGTCCAGATACTAATACATTTTCATGACAGTATGCAGGGAAATGGTATGCCCTGGCCAAGAAGGATCCAGAAGGCCTCTTCCTTCAGGACAACATCTCTGCTGAGTACACTGTAGAGGAAGATGGCACAATGACAGCGTCCTCCAAAGGCCGAGTGAAGCTTTTTGGGTGAGCTCTCTTGAGTTTCAGCTCTAGCTGCTGTCATGAGGCACTGGATGAGGGGGACACGGATGATGATCTATCCTGAACACACAACATGGCTGGGTTTTCTTCATCAAAAAGGGAAGTTTAGCCAAAGCTTTAGATTAGAAGCTAGAGATTAGGCACTTTTGAGTCCTGAGTTTCTTCATAGACTGGGTCAGGTTTGGGTTTGTCACAAAACTACTGCAATAAAGTCAATTATTAAATCAAATCTTAGTTGATGGAATGGTTAGATAAATTAATTGCAATTAAGTAAAGGAACTAATGAAGGCTGTGGAGCTGTGAGGGAAGGACAACTCTCATTTCACTGAGAGTTTCAAGGGAAGGAGAGGAGCATTACTTTCACAGACATCACAACACAGTGCTGGAACAGATTTCTGAGTAAATCTTGTGGTTACATCTTAGATGTAATTGCAATGCCTGAATGGACAGATGGCAGGAAGCTTAGAGTTTTGCCTGTTGGTCATGATTACTACAAGGAATTACAGCGTGTAAAGAGATTAAATAGCTTTCTGAGTGCAGAAGAGAAAATCTGTAGCTTCCAATATGCCAACACTAGCGGGCAGCTATGAACCTTGTACATCTCAATAGCGCAGCACTCCAAGATATTTTGGGAATGGGCAAATGAGGTCTTGCAAGCATGCCATACTGGGCAAGGGGAGACACGCCTGAAAGGACTCTTCAGAAAACAAGTGGAATCTCCAGGCTGCTGCAAATTTTATTTCTGCAAAGGCAGGATAAGGGGAAGCGCAGCCAGAGCAAGGAAGGGAATTAAGACCCTCCCACCATTTCACAAATGGTAATGCTTGACAAACAGAGGTGTAATGTGGATGGCATTCAAAGCAAACAGATCCCAAACAGAGAAGGGCATTGGAACAAAGGGGCACCTAGAGTTCTCAAAGGTGGTGTGACAGTTTTCACCAGCTTGGCAGAGGGGCTGTAACTATTATTGTGCTTGTAACAGCCATTCCTGTGCCCATATTGCTGGAAAGGGATAGACAGGGGAGAGCCAACTCCCTGCCTCCTCCTGGGGCACAGCTAGTGACCCCAAAAGAGCCCAAATGCAGGTGAGCTCACCCTGCGGGCTGCTAGCAGGGAGCCAAGAAACAACATCCATTATTGTGCTTGGCGGCTGCCTGCTTGTACAGAAATGAGTAGCAAAAATCTTACTGAACTGAAGGAGGGTCAGGGCACTGCACAGCTGGGGACCAGAGGGCAGCAGCAATCACTGGCAGTGTGTGGGGGGTGTCACACACTTGCATTACTTAAGGACAGTGACTTAGCATTTAGAAAGGTGATGCCTATGCCTGAGGCAGTTGTGCCCAAGTCCTAAATGAGGGACACCCATTTGAAGCTCTCATACTGTCCGGTTTTACCTTGAGTCTTATGGATCTTGTTGCAGTTTCTGGGTGATCTGTGCTGACATGGCTGCTCAGTACACAGTACCTGACCCAACCACTCCAGCAAAAATGTATATGACCTACCAGGGACTGGCCAGCTACCTCTCCAGTGGTGGTGAGTTAAGTTCTCCAGACCCCTGATGCTAGTCAATAGCTTACAGCTGTCCAGATGTGTGTTTCCATACATAAGCAGAAAAAACAGTTCAGCTCAGATTGCTCCAAGTGAAGACAAAACATCCTTCTGGGGGGGATGCCTTATCCAAGCAGTGCATTTTATCTCCACAGAAAGGGAAGCATCCAGAGACTCCCCAGAGATCCCTCTAATACACTATATATATATATAAATATATGTTAACAAGGAAGCTTAGAGGCTTTGGGACACACACCATGGGTTTTGCACAGCCAACTGTGGTGCTGGACCTAGGGAAGCCATACTTCCTGGGGCCCACTGTGGACACTACAAAAGTGCTGAGGTCAGTCATCCTTGTACTCCTCATAGCTAAACAGAGGAGACATGTGGATCCACAGCTGCACCCCAGCAACAAGACACATTTCTCCTCAGCTATACTCAAAGATATGAAGCTGTTAAGCCAACGCCATCTTTCAGAAACTCCTCATGCTGAACCTCAATTACATGCCTTTCAAAGTCTGTCCTTTGTGCCCGAGCCACCCATAGGTGCAGTTCTCCAGCTGTGGAAGCTGGGGAGGACTTCTAATGTGTAAGAAAGAAGTATATTCTCTTAGCACTGGCAGGTAAGCCACACCAAAAAGAACTAGTTAAACAAGGCTAGAAAACAGGAGGAATGTTTTCCTGTATAGGAAATGTAATTTGTATTGTATGTCCTTCCTTCCACCATGCTTAAGCAAGCAACATAAAGAGATACTTTGTCATTGAAAATCCTAGTCGTCCTAATACTTCTAGCCTAAGAAACAAAAGGTGAAAATGCACTGAGCACTGTGGGGGAAAATCATGGTCTCAAGATGCCCTGTGCTTGTCCCAGTTCTTCTCCTCATGGTGTGGAGATAAGATGGATGTGTGATATGATTATAGATCCCTTGGAAAGCTATCCCTGCCATGTGAAGTTTGACATCTCCCTGTTGAAGGATCCACCTCTGCTCTGCTGTGCCCACTGTTACAAACCAGCGTGTTCTGATATTTCAGGGGACAACTACTGGGTGATTGACACTGACTATGACAACTATGCCATCACCTATGCCTGCCGCAGCCTGAAGGAGGATGGCTCCTGTGATGATGGCTACTCCCTGATCTTCTCGCGCAACCCCCGCGGCCTCCCCCCAGCCATCCAGCGCATTGTGCGCCAGAAGCAGGAAGAAATCTGCATGTCTGGCCAGTTCCAGCCTGTGCTTCAGTCAGGTACTTGGGGCTAATTAGCAAACTCACTGGGTTGCACAGTAGGTAACTGCATTTGCTGTTAAATGTGACAGAACCACAGCAAACTCAGGTGTTCTTTTTTAGCAACCTTTCCCTCATGTTAGAGCTAATAGGAAAAGAGCTACAAAGGGAAATCCATGCAAGGACAAGAGCCTGATACAGGCTGCAGCCTTAAGATTGCTACTTACAGAAATCCTGTGTATTGAAACTAGTATGCTACTAGCAGATCAGCCTTGTTACTGTAGTAGACAGGACAGGGATGGATGCAACAAACCCGTGTTCCTGCACTTAGAAATGATTGTCTTGGCCATTGCACAATAGCACCTTACCTTGGGTCTGTGCAGTGTCCTCCAGGAAAAGATGAGAAGGTGCTTCCAGGAAGGACCACTCTTGTACTCCTTAGCTCCATCATGACTTGTGTCCTGTGTGGTCTGAGTTGCAGGGATGAGGGGCTCTGAGCAGCATTTCTGACTGCAGCTGCTGGCAGTAGGAGTCAGCAGTTGCACCACATACATGCAAACAGACCATCTTTAAAGCCTATATTGCGAGCATTTTTCTGGAGGTACAGGAATTGACCTTCTAGTTCAAATGCTGTCCATGAAATAGATACATTTTTAGGGCTTTGCAGGAGGCAGAAACTCTTCTTTGCTGGCAGTTGAGCACTCACACCCTTCACAACCTCACTGCCTTGCCTGGAAATTGACCCTTTACTAAGCCACGTAATACACTTGTTTTGCACTGTGGGACAAGGAATGGCAGCTAAAACCTCCTGAACAGCATGTTGTTGTGTCAGCCAGTCCAGAGAAGGCGCTGGCATCACCCAAGGCTGTCGGCATGGCATGGGCATCCCTGCCCCACACCCCTGTGCACGGCTGCCTGTAGCAGAGGGAAGGCAGCTGGTTGGCAGGGTCATGGCTGGGTGCCCAGGAAAGCCAAAAGCCCACGGCCAGCTGGGAAAGGCTGCCTGCACCTGTGCCAACAGACACAGAGAAATGCAAACAGCAACTTTTGCACCCTGCATCCTAGTCTTATACTGTGATTCGGAAGCACCCTAGGAAGGTTGTAGCTATAGCTTCACAGGAGACTTAAATGCTATTTTAAAGCACTTTGCAAATTTACTTACACAGACTAAACTTTACTCTCTCTTTCTTTCCAGGGGCCTGCTAAAAGTATGCTTCTGATCCGATCCTTAAGCACAGAAACCAGACCTGTTGGTCTTGAAGTTGCCACAGAAATAATAATATTTTAAAAAAATCATAGTATGGAATAGTGTGTTTTTCCTGAAAAACACATGAAAATATTGGGGGATCTTTAAACAGTGTGCAATATAATAGTGATATTTGAATTTTCAAGGGAATACCTAATGTGGCATTTGTCAATAAATGTTTTTGAAAAAAAGGCTCTCTGGAACTGGTTTTTATAGCCTGATGTCCTGTCGTTGGGGAGTAGAAGGACAGAAGATGCTTACTGAGGAGTGGTGAGATAACAGCCAAGGGTGCTCCCAGCACAGGAGGGGCAGTGTCACTCCTCAGCACTGAACAGGGGGACAGGGCAAGGACCGTGAGAGGGGCGTATCTCCTGACAGTGCTGATTGTCACATAAAAGCATGGTGATAAGATAAGTCTGGGATTCACCTAGAAAGCCAGCAAATGAAGGCAGTAAGTCACATCACTGAGATGGCTCCAGCCAAAAACTGGACTTGAGAGCATGTCTGAGGCAGAGCTACCTGCAGCAAAGTTCCCAAGGGGAGAACCACAAATGCAATAAAATAGTTGCTACTTTCAATAACACTAGACATTGCTTTAAACGAGTGGGTGCTTGCATTTCTAATGGCATTACCAGTAATTTGCTCCTGCCTGCCTTCATAATCCAGATTTCAATATCTGAAAGGTATAGAACTGAAAGATATTGAATAGACTGGGTTTATGGGAAAGAATTTCATAGATAGAGAAAACCAGAAAAGGAGTACCTAGAAATCTCCATTTAGAAAAACAGTTACCTGAGTCAGCGTTATTGACATGTATTTCCCACTGCTTTTAGTAAAATCACATTCACTTTGTGTTTCCTAGTAATAAAAATACCAGTCTAGAACACCCCAGCATCCTGCTGAACCCTGCAGTTTGTCAACTACACAAAGTTTTACAAGTTACAATTACCAAGTACAGAAGCAAGATCAAGCTGAACAGCCCCTACTCCAGGGGCTTCCAAAAGGGGTGTGGAACAAGGCTGATGCTGACTGAAGACCTTCAGAGCACTACACTGTTAAACAGCTTCTGCAAGATGCTTGCACCACCTTACCTACAGTAACCAGAAAGAGTATAGAAACCAAAGACCAGAGACACTCTCCAGGACCAGAGACATTATCCCAGGGATGCAGTGAAGTCTCTCAAACTTTTATTTCCCAGGATTTCCTGGCAATACTAGTAATGCTCTTAACCTACTTGAACAGAGGTGTCCTTGCTCTTCAGGTCTCAGGAAAACTATCCTGACAGGGAACAAGATTGTGAGCTAAGGACAGAAATGGAGCACTGGCACACAATGTTAATAAAACCCCACAAAGACAGAGAACTACTGAGTGTTGAAAAAATATCAGCCTTTTCTGCTGGGCTAAGTGCAAGGTCAGTGCATTGATTGAATGCTTTCCACTTCCACCCTTCTCCCAGCAGGAAGTATTGGGGTGGAATCTGTGACCTTAGGACTTGTAAAACCACTGATTAGACAATGCTAATCAGTTACTTCAGTAGCTTCAGCTACTCTTAGCTGAAGGAGTGTGGCCTTTGGCCAAAACTGTCAGACCAATACTACCAGTCTTAGAGAAAGGGGATTTTTAATGTCTATGGTTATACTAATTGTATGACCAGAGCAGATGAGAGCTGTAACAAGAAGAGACAATCAAGATGCAGGACCCAATGCATCCTTATTGTGCTTGGTGTAGTCTGTCCAGACGAGATAGGCAGTGAAATTCCTCCTCAGCTACTTGAGGCAAAGCCTGCAGAATCATAGAAATACAGTGGCGATCGTGGTTGAATACAATATAGAGTTCATCTGCCTCAGGAATTGTACTTGTTTCCATCAGGACTACAAGCAAGTCCTCATTGTATGTGGGAAGTTAATGAACAGATGGGAGTTACATCATATTCGTCTCCAATAACTGCAGGAAACGTGAAAGACAAGGCAGGATAGGGCAGGCAGTCATGAGTGTATTCTGATGAGAATTACTCTTCCCTTGAAATTCTGTTGAGTTCAACATGAAACATCTCACGTATATCTAGAAGCAGACATCTTCTGTCTGCTGTTTGAGCTGGCTGGTGAAAACCAGTCTATTTTTCCTGTTTTTTTAGTGTGTGTATAGGTCCCGAGTCATAATCTCTGTCCTGCACAAACTTTCCACTAACAAGACAAAATAAAAAAATTGTTTATGCATTAAAAGGACTGTTGTTTTGTCCTCAGAAGGTCCTTTAGTGCTGGCAGAAAGACTATGACTGCGCAACAGCAGGAGGGACCCTGCAAGGATATTGTCCTTCACACACCAGTGAACCTCCTCCAGCAAGGACACTGCAGGTCCTGAGATCACACACAGTAATACCACCTCGAGTTTGACCAGTTTTCCCTGGGTTGTGGTAACTGAGGCACTCTATGCATTTAGTTTTCTACTTCAGCCTTGACACTTTTTATGCTAAGTTCCCTTCATGCTTCAGTTTTATGCAATGTTGGAACTTCCACGAGTTGAGCTACCTTTTACCCCTTGTGCTGGCATCCATTGCGAGTAGCTGTGTGGTACTTGGTTGCTGGCTGGAGTTAAAATATAGAAGTCCTCGAGAATAGTTTTTACTTTCCAAGATTAAGTTGCTGACGTAAGAGTTGTAAGCAGTTTCTACAACATAATAATCAGATCCTGTTTTTACAGCGTTCATGTGAAAGATTAAAAACCAGTTTTATTTGCTCTATTGAAAGATGGCAACAAATGTAGCATACACACAATTAGACAATGTAAAATACTCAGCTGAAAGGTTCTTTCAGTTGCAAAATGGTTATATAGCCTCACAAGCTTTTGTTTGAAGCACAGGCAAATAATCCCATGTTGCAGTTGCAGTTACATATTCTTACTTGGATTAATGAACAGCAAAAGACATACATGAGTGCTCTGCAGCCTTGCTTTGATTATGATACTACAGAAATACTAAGCACCTGCTATTCACACCTGGTGCTATGGATACTTGGCACTTCTGAAAACTCAAACTGTAATGGGGGGATGATCGCTACATGTAACAGAGGAGATTAGTTAAACATGCAATTTAGGAAACACTACCAGAGTCAGCAACAGATGGTTACAGAAACCTCAAGTTTCAAGTACTAAATAGCGTTGTTCTGTAGACATTAAATGATAAAAAGAGAAAACGCCATTTCAAAACTTTTATAATTCGTCAGAAATAAACTCATACCTGGAAATACCAACTTCTCTTCTCTCTGTAATTGTTAATACATGCTCATATCTTAAAGGAATGAGTTTATATCATAGCAGCAAAGAAGATTTTCAGAAGAAATCTTCTATTTTTCATGGTTTGCACATTTATAAATTTTCATCCCTGCATAACAAAATCAATACTATTCACTACAGCTATGTTTCTTCTTTTTTTTTTTTTTTTTTTTTTTTTTTTTTTTTTAATACACCTGTAACTAGTACATAGTCCTTGGTTTGATAAAGACTGCTATATTCTGATTGCCAGGGTGGGAAAATTTTAAAGCAAAAGGGCTACTCAGGTAGGACATCTTACACACTAAACTGTCCACTCAAGCTCCTACATTTTCCCCTGCTTCAGACACACTAAAATCTTTCAAGACCCTATACTTAGTTATTTCTCTAAATCGTTTTATTCGTGGTTCCACCTCATACTAGCAAAACAACATGTGTTAACTGCTAGATTTCACTTAACTGTGTACACTGGTTCTTCACTCAGGGGCAATTATCACAAGTTTAAAATGTATTTTTACTATCACCATCCAAGTAGAATGTCTCAGTAACTTTTCTTAAATCGAGAGGATTTCCAATTGAGTGGGATACATGGCCTTTTTCTGTTCTGCATGTATGGACAAGGAACTGGAGGACTAGGATGTGACAAGTGCCCCTTATTAAAACGTAGATGAGGCAACAAATACTTAATCTAAATTTTGTGACAGAATAAATCTTTTAAGGCTAATTTTCAGTACAAGCACATGAACAAGTAACCAGCAAGTAAGGAGATACAAGGGCACATCTCACGTGCACTGACTTTTTGCATATGTTTCTTTTCTGTGCTGTAAAAGTTGAGGGTATTTGAGGTAGTTCAGCTCTCTCCTACTGTGCAAACTTGGCCATTTCTTTTTTCAGAGACCTGAATGTTTCATCAAATATGCAGTTTTTGTTGTTATGTTGGTGTGGTGGCTGATGTCAGCAAAGAGAGCAGTAGGGGACTTGTTTGTGTGACAAAGTCACTCCTCTTACGGAAAACACTCTAGCTGTTTTCACTGGCATTATCCTTCTCTCTTCAAACCTGTTAAAGGCACAGCTCAAACTGTGCCAGTTGTGAAAAGAGAAAAATAAAGCAGCACCCCTGCAATTTCAGGGAACTTTGCTGTTTATATGAAGTGTTTGGCAGCTGCAAGCACAGTCAGTGGTGATCTGTGGCCCGTGATCTAGGGCTATCACACGCTTGTGCACATGCTTTGTAAAGCACATGAGCTCTAACTGTTCTTTGTTAATTTCCTAAGAGCTGTAAGTAGTATAATGTAGTCCTGCTACATTCAAGAGTGTGCTGTCCTGTCATATGAGAACACAAAAGGCTCTAACTAGTGTTTCAGCTTTCTCCTGGCCACGTAGAGCCACTTACAGTGTGTGAGGGGAGGTGTTAGCTGTAAGGGCTGAAGGACACCAGGCTAGGTGACAGCAATGGAGAGAAAGGGACTTACAGGGTTAGAGCCTCCACCACAAAGAGGCAGCAGTTGACGGCCAAAGTGCAAACAGGTGATTCGGGCAAAAACAAAAAAGAGAAAAGGCAGAGAAGTCTGGAGGCTAGGGCTTTATGTGCCCTCTCCCCTCTGAGAATGAGCTGATATCCCTTCCTCTGCCTGTGTAAAATAGTTCCAGCATCCATCTAATGGTCACAAATACTGAGAAAGCTGGTAGAAACCCCTCTGTGAGAGAGTGAAAAACCTCATACACCTAACCATGGCAAGTGTTCTAAAATAATCCACTGTGACTAAGGGAGTAAGGGATCATTTACTTCATGCTCTGATTGTGTCAGGTTCCTGTGCACTTTTCCATCAAACCATTAAATCAAAACAGCCTGGCAGCTAAGGCAGTCAGTTGACTCTTAGACAGATCCTCCGTGTGCCTTTGCTACCATTCTCATTCACACAGTGAAGCAATGGTTCTGTTCTTGTTTGTTACAGTTTGTGACCTCTATAAATCTTAGCTTGCCCTGGCCGTTAGCTCAGTGAAAAAAGGGGAATAATAAATATTTATTCCCATAATTCCTAGTAACCAGGCTGAATCCCTGTCCTACGGCAGCCTTTTACCAGTTGGATTGGCAGTTGTACTTGTTTGATAACGCTGTCTTTTGTGCTGTGAAGAGTTAACAGGGGCAGTTGCTTCTAACTTGTGTTCCTAACTTCATCAGGTCGTTTCCATACGCCCTCCTCAGCCTGGGAGGAGTTTATTTTTCTGGGGAGTTGTCATTTGCAAGGAACATACACCACTGACACCAAGCCAGGCACCACT